AATATCCTTTTAGTATTAAATACATTTTTATGAGCTCTACAACTTTTGTTAGAAGCCAAAGAGTAATTTATTTAGTATAAAAAAAAGTTTTAAATAGAGACACTGTGCTTTCGCACTTATAATAAAATTTATATATAAAAAAAAATTTTTTATCCAGATAACTAGTGAATCATCTATTAAACTAATAATAGCACTAAAATAGGAAATAAAAGATGAAATATCACATTGAGTGCTCTGTAGCACAAGTGTAGCTAAAAAATTTTAATCATAGAAATTTTTTTCTAATCAATCTTCCTATAATTTACTCGTTTAAGTTAAAGGGTTTTGGCAGCCAGGTTATAAATAAATAACTTATTTGTCCTTTTATCTGAATCTGTAAACTACAGAAAAACCTTCAATCTTCGAACTGACTGTAATAAAGTTTCTACTATGATATTATAATAATAATAATAATAATAATAATAAAAAAATTTAAATAAAATTTTATATAATAATATTTGAAAGCTAAAAATAAAGTATTTTTTTAGTCAAAAAAGCTTTTACTATTTTTTAACAAACTCTTTTTTTTTTTTTTTATATTGCCAACGTAGAAACTTTATTAGTTATGATAAATGCCTTACAGAACAATTATATATACAGTTTCTAATTACATTTGTGCTACTATTACTAGTCACCTAATGTGGTATTATACTTCTTAATTTTCCTATATTACTTTTTCCATTAACTATTTCAAGCCAACTTCAAGCTAGGGTCGGTTGGAGCAATCTACCATTACACATCCCACCATGTAATTATTTTTCGTAATTTCTTTCCAATTAGTACATATTAACTGCCATCATTGTGTTCGTATCTCATGCCACCTTTTGGAGTGCGGCCATAACACAATCTGTATCTCAATTTCAACCTTCCTAATTAGTCATCAGTTACATACTATATTACAAGATTTTCTATTGTTACCTATTTTTGTACTATTACACTCCCCTATCTACTTCCTGCAGCAACCTTATAATTCTCCCAAATTGGTTCATTCTGGCGGTTTGTCGCTCTTCTTGCTCCCATATTGGTGTACACAGCCTTCCCTATATATTGATACCTTACGGCACAGCTGGATTTATTGAATTTCCAGTTGTTATCTGCAGTGTACCACCTACTTTATACAATGCTCCCATAGTTGGTATGATTGACTGTAGCATAGATACCGAAGCTTCCCATTATAACTTTATGTTATATAGGTGTACTACTGACGATCATTTACTTCCAGCTCGGTGATGCAAGAGTACCTGGAACCTTAACTTATAGCACATCAGTATGGCACCTATCATCAACGTTGTAATATGCAGTGTTTCCTTATTAGTTTTTCAATTTTCCAATCTTGTATGCTAAAGGTGTTCCTTTATTTGGTAAAGCTATCCTCTTATCACAGCCCCTTACTGTATTCGCCACTTCTCTCACCACTTCCAGATATACTACATTTAGCCGTTCTTCCAATCAAAATCCCCAAGACCGCCTTAGGGTTGTTGATGCTACCTAGCCAATCGAGGATTTACATGCACAGCCTTATGCAGTATTACTTTCTGTGACACCATGTCACACATAGTGCCCAGTCTTCTCTACGGCTCGGGACTCCTTCCAAGAATTCTTTATAGGCCAAATAAGTACTTCACATGGTCTTATCATCACAGGGTTTCGCATTCGAAAGCTCTCGTAGGTTACAAAGATAATTAATTAAATTAATTACTACCAGCTATAATCGAACCGTTGACCTTGTCTGTGGAGGGTTAGGCGCCTAGACCACTAGGCTATGGGACCCTAACCCTATACTTTTAACTTGAAACCCAAATTTTAGCATTTTTCGATTTTAGTATTATCTCCAATATTTAATTTTTTTAACAATACAGTTGATCTTTTTAAAACCGATCCTGTCAAAGCTGATAAAAAATTAATTAACCAAGTCCATTCCCGTTATATAAATCTAATGGTTTATTATGTTTTCGAGTCCAATAACTTCTCAAAACTGATACAAAACCTGTCCACCATGTATAAGAATTTTAAGAGGGCCGATAGGACCCTGAATAATTGTCTGAAGCATAGTTGTCCGAAGCATAGCGAGGACTTAATCATATATGTGTTTATATTCGTGCCTATTTTTAGATCAGATGATTGTTGTTTAGCAATTTTTTTTTAATTCATAATAAAAAAAAATATGTAATGAAATTTTGGCTTTGGACATCTAACAGCACCTGTTTTCTAGTCTATATGAGCTTATATTTGGGCATCATAGTAAATTTGTTAGCACTTTTATATTAGCATATATAATCTATATAGGTGCCGCCAAGTGAAAACCAGGAATTTTAAAAATAGATTTCTTTAGACAATGGAATACAGACTTTGAATAATATTAATATATTGTTACAATGCTATAGCTTTCAGTCCACAATATACTATAGCAAGGTAACAAGGTCACTCACTGTAGAGAAACATATATTAGGAATATACAGGGAGTGGAGTAAAGTATTTACTATACTTTATAGCAGTAGGCAAACGGTTTGGGATAGTAACAGTATATTATATAACTTTATTTAAACACAGATGTCACAGTGATAATCTTGCCTATAGGATTTATCTTAGAGGAGAAATATTACACTATACAGATATAAGAAGAGTAGGATAGTATAAAGCTAAATTCTATGAGAGGGTAGAGAAACTCTCTAACTTGAGTAAAAGGGGCAAAGCCTCTCTTTTTTATAACTTTTTTACATATAAGAGGTGTAATGGCTAAACCGTATAAAAGATATAAAAGATATAAAAAGTACAAAGGTATAAAAGGTATAAAATGTACAAAAGGTATAATAATAGAAAATTTTGTAATATTGTACGTAATTGAAGACTAATTAGGAAGGTTAAAATTGAGATACAGATTGTGTTATGGCTGCACCCCAAAAGGTGGCATGAGATACGAACACAATGGCAGCAGTCAATATGTACTAATTGGGAAGAAAATTACAGAAAAATAATTACATGGGTGAGACATATAATAGTAGGTTGCTCCAACCGACCTTAGCTTGAAGTTGGCTTGAAATAGTTAATGGAAAAGTAATATAGAGAAAATAAGGAGTATAATGCCACATTGGGTGACTAGCAATAGTAGCACAAATATAATTAGAAACTGTATATCAATCGCTCTGTAAAAAGATGTTAATCTAGACTAATAAAGTTTCTATATTTGGCAATATAAAAAAAAAAAAAAAAAAAAAGCTAAAAGTATAAACTTTACTAAAATCTACATATGCTTTTTTATTATCCCTTACACCATCTAGCAATCACAGACGAAACACAGATACCCAATCATCTTACGTAGTCAAAATATCACTAGTTTAACCCAATTTACTAAAAGTCTGATGCGTATTAAGTTCTAACGATTATTTCCAATATTTAAACTATATTGAGCATCTTGAAATGTCATGTGGTTTCTGAAGGCCCCCAAAAAGTAAGCGAAGAATTCAAAAAGCATCACAGAAAGCCCTCGAATAGGTGATTCAGTTGCTTATAATACTATATATATACCTTTAAATTACAATTTACATGATCTGCCAGAAAAGTGCATTTGTCAAAAAGTTGCAGGCAAATTTGCCTGTAAGGGATAAACTCTAAATCCTAACATAGCACTAAAAAAAAATTTTTAATGTTATCTGTTATTAAAATAGGTCAAAATTTTAGCAACAGCATCATCCCCGACATTTTATATATTGTACCGTAGAGCGCTGCATACAGTACCCGGTGTGACACGATTTTTTACATAGTGAAAAATTAAAGATCACACGAGTTACACAATTGTTTACATCACATGGCATACATAAATAATATTTTAAAAAATTGATCTACATTATTTGTCACGCCGGATACTGTATGCAGCGCTCTACGGTAATATAAATCAAAATAATAACATTGCCTTCAAGTAATACTCTGACCTAGCGGTGCTGGCTAATCAATTATATATTACTATCGCTATAGTAAATCATCGGTTTAAACGGCTAATTTTTTTCTTTCTTTTAAAGTTAAAAGCCAATTATGCATTTCTAAAATTCCGATATCGATGGAAAGCACTAAACTGGTTAAGTTGATCGGCTAGAATCACTATCATACTCTAATCTAAACTATATAATAGGTTTGTCACCGAGACGTATTATAAACTAGACATACTAGACATATTTAGTTAGTTTATTTAAAATTTTGGGTAGTTTCAAAAACACGGAACCCCGTGATATTTTCGTGATAATCACATCACATGATTAAGTGTTCGGCCTAAGTTAGGGTTAGTGTTAGGGTTAGGTGATAGGTTAGTTTAGGCTAATTTTTTAGTGCTAGTAAACAAATGATGTGATGTGATGATCACGAAAATATCACGGGGTTCCGTGTTCTTGAAGTGTCCCGCAGTCTCACCTTTGTTGTAATCAAGCATTCCAGACCAATAAATTCGTGTCAGGTGAATTCCGCAAAATTGGATCGCTCCCGATCATTACAGCATTAGAAATCTATTTCTTTTTGACATAAAAGAATTTGTCCTATAATTATTACTATTAGTAACAATAATAAATAGCTGAAAAATAGAATACGTACATGCAGTCTCACCTTCGTTGTAATCAAGCATTCCAGCATTCTAGACCAATAAATTCGTGTCAGGTGAATTCTGCAAAATTGGATCGCTCCCGATCATTACATCTATTTCTTTTTTGACATAAAAGAATTTGTCCTATAATTATTACTTTAGTAAATTTTGTGTTACGTATTAAACATACAATTTTATTGGTTCCGGACCTATGTTGAGGGTTCATATTTGCTTTACGTAAGGGTACCCGTGCCAAGATAAATTTTGTTTTGAAACGATAATCAACCAAAGACCAATATTAAATACAGAATTGTAGCACCATCTAGCGATATTCATATCAAAATATTTATGTATATTGTATTTTATTAGTGTTGGTTTTTCTTTACATTTAGAAATGCGAGTAACCCGAAGCATTCACAGCAGATCATCCTCTACAATAGACCGGGAGTCTTATACAAATAACTCGAGTAAAGTATTACCAACAACATTAATAGATACTGCAACTTCTTCCGTGTTTCCAGACACCACTTTGAACACAAACGCAGCTTTGAATAACACAGATTTGGAAACAGCAGTAACTGCCTCGTTTCAACCAACTTCTGTGATTTCTAAGACAGCTGCGATGACAGTCACTACTTCTACTTCAACTACCACTAGACAATCCGATAAAAAAGTTAAAAAACACGGCTTTCTATCTTCTCTATTAGCTAACGACGGTGCTTCGCATTCGATATCTTCTGGTACAGAGATGGCAAAGAAAAAAACCACCGGAATAACGGAATCAAGTACAAAATATAAATTATTTAAGCCTTGGGGAAATTCTCAAGACTCAGAATATAAAACAATAGAAAAAGCTTATGTAAAGTGAGTTGTTTCTAAGATCTTTTGGTTGTCATTACTTTTTGTTCCCACACTTTTTTAAAAAATCGAATTTATAGATTTCAATCGAAAGATCGGAGCAAAGTAGATATCCTCAAGACAATAGTAAATCCCTGGCTCAAAAAACATAATCTAGGTAAAGATACACTATTTAAAAAATAAATCTGGTAAAAATGGATATTAATTTAATATTTAAATTTGTTTCCTTCATTTGTTTTAATTTGATCTAGTAAATGCAACCGATAAAAGCCTACAACAAGGCCGTTTAGTCTTACTGAAATGGTTTGTATTTTACGCGTTTTTCATAAGTTATTGCGACTAGTTTCATACGTCACTATAATAATAATTATTATAATGTGATACAAAAATTGATCGCTATTACTAAATAAGTCGGTAAACTCTTATATTGTTGATTAGAAAGCGTTTATTAATAATAAAAAAAAAATTTTTAGGTGGAATATCTTGATCTTACATTTACCAAACGCAGTATACACGGATCGTAGTCTTTATTTTGATTGTATACTGGCTTTAATGACAAGGTAGCATAAGAAAAATTGTTATTTTAATATAGCTCTATTATCTATAAAGTTCTTTTGGTATTTCCGGTAAATTACTTACATGAATTATGATTTCTATGCTGCTTGTATTTTAGGAATGAATTCGAAGATCTTGGTGAGTCTTGTTTTCTCTACGTTATTCATTAAAAAAAATCGCCCTCAAATAATGTATTTAATCGACTATCTTCTAATTGACATTTTAAATAGACCGAATAGGGCCAATTCCTCCGGATGCTGAAGATTCTTACATGGGTGTCCCAATAGATACTATAATGAAATACCGTTCTTCTTTGATGACAACTTTGCATTACGCAATTGATAGATTGAATCAAAAGGGTGTATATTCTAATGTAATCTCATTCTGCGCACGGGTTTTAGGTATTAATAGTAAACAGTTCTATCATTAAAAAATGCAAAATAAAATTTGGTTTATTGTAAATAAAAAAAATTTTTTTTGACCTTTATTTTTATTATTATTATTATTACTTTTTAGCTTTGTGTTTCTTTAAAATACCTGGTGTAGGTTTTGCATTGCTACAAGCATTACCCGTATGCAAATCTCATATTAGGAGAATATTAAAGGAGACAGTCGGTGAAGAAGATCCAAGGTTAATTAATTTATATAATACAAGCCTTATTTTATATGTTATGTAATACTAATCAGTTTATGTATTGAAAACCTTGAAACTTAATTAATTAGTATTGACCGCATATCAGAGCAAAATGATAAAATCTCAACTTTATTTCCGGAACATTTAAAGATTTTATGTTTTTTGAATCTGAGAACATGGTTGCGGCAATTTGAAAATGCCAAACGTATCTGGGGTGATCCACCGATAGAGATGACTGGAAATTGGATACGTAGGTAAGCGTAACATGTTACGATAGAATTCGTTTATATTTTCGTTTTATTAACACTTTCTTTTTTTTACAAAGATGGCAAAGCGATGATAGTGAATTATTTTTTTCGTTTTATAAACACTATCACATAGTCCTTAAATCTTATATCATATCATATCTTTCGACATCGACTTCCCCAAAGTTAATGACACCCCCATTTCAATATATTACCGCACCGGGTTACGTTCACCTAGCTTCCTTTTTTCTCCTCAAAATCGAGTCACTTATTCATCGCAATATTCACACCATTACTACTGTTATTCAGTTTGAACATGCAAGGAACACTAGCAATTTTGCAAATTCAACTCCTTCAGCCACAAGAATTCCAGATATGATGAATCCAGATGCATCTGCTATTGGAATGGGGTCATATGCCGGAATTGGGATGGTTGGAAACTCCATTAATAATGAAATAGCAAATGATAGTGTAGCTTTAGAAGCATCTATGAATGGAATGGGAGGTGCCGCAGGTGTTAATACTGGAAAGCCTAAAGTATTAGAGATGGCAGGGCGACGTTTCGTTGAAACAATGGTATCTATCGTAGAAAACGGGATTTTCCAGGAAATGTGTAATGTTTGGGTTAAGGCAGTAGTAAAAAGAACAAACTTGTATGATGTTGAAGGTGTTTTTTGTGAGTACTGAAATCAATAATTATAAAAATTACAATCAGTTTTGTTACATTTACATTAATAATATTAATATATATTTATTTAAGGTCTGTTGGATTTCATTGACACCTTAGTAATGGAATTGGATACCAGGTAAAAAAAAGAAAACTCATTTTTAAATCACACTGAGTCCGCTTATTGCCGCTTATTGTTAGTATCTAAATACATGAATTTCAATTTGTTAAATAGGGACAATGCTATTATTTCTTCAGAACCAACAACACCAAATTCCGCCAATACATCTGTATCCAGTGACTCATCTAGTTCACCGTTTTCACCACCTAATCTTACAAATATACTTGATATTACATTTTATATTTCACTGATTAATCTTCTTCTTAATCAAACAGATCATACTATTACTATTTTACGAACAATAAGTTTTGTTTATACTCAATTTTCTCTCTTAACTTCTCAACCAGCTTATTTAAAACAACTAGTTAAACAAATACTTCTGGATGAGGAGACATTTGAAAGGATGTTCTGCCACTGGTCCAGAAATGTTAGAATATATTTTATGCGTTTGTTGATATGGAGAGTTGGGAGAATTGGTAGTGATTTTGGAAAAAGTGATGAATCTAAGGATTCCATTAGTGATAGTGGATTGAGTAATGAAGAAGATATTGAGTAAGTAAGGAAATAGAGATCTGCATTGTTGTCTACATAATACTTACATCTGTTTAAAAATATCATTAATATAGTATATTGATAACACTGCAAAATCGTCTGGACAACACGAGGCAATGTCATGAGTTTTTATCCAATTATGATGGAAATTTTGAAGATATCGAACAGGTGTTAAAAGCAAAAATTGCCGAATCCACAGATGATGTACCTGATTTCAGCAATAGTGAGGAAGAACAATCTCAAACTCCATCTAGTGATAGATCTTCTCTATTGCAATCTTCATCGACAATTATCCCTGAGTCCAAATCTTCAACTTCTTCAAATAAAAGTCGCAAAAACAAAAAAAAGATGACGTTAAAAGATTTTATCTCATCACAATCTTCGTCTGGAAAGGCCGCTTATTTGTTTCGCCTGGTTTTTTCAAACGGATCTAATAAAAATTCAAGTCATATCAAATCAGGTTCTACATCTTCGTCTGTTACGGAGGATACAATGACACGTGCAACCAATAAACAACCTTTAAATGCACTTGTATGGCATTATTCACCACATAGACATATATATGTTGAAAAAGCTATTGCAGAGTATGAGGCTGTCAGTCAAGAATATACTCAATGGTGTACGCAGCTAGCAAACATAGAAAGAGGTGTTTCTAATAGTGGTGGTCTGATGAGTTCCAATTCGGCATTTTCAATAGTGGTCCGATTTCCTAGCTTGGCGGTTGAATATCCAAAATATTTTGGAAATGGGATTGGAAATTCTCCAATAATGTGAATGAAAATACATAAACATAACTTCTTATAATCACCATAATCTTGTTTCTCTATTATATTGAGGTTAGACTGTATTTATATAAAAATGCGTCGCCGAAAAAGATTAATTAACTGTACATTTTTAATTTATTCCTTTTAAATATTTAGAGTATAATCTTTTCTAAGATAGAAAAACAATAGCATTCACAATTTCAGTAATCTTGGTTAAGCTTATTTCTTTCTTTTTTTTTGAAGGACTATGTACAAAGTTCGCATACTTTTATACATATGAACATTTTTTTCAAACGATGCATCAGTAATTACGCAAAAAAAAAAAAAAAAAAAAATTTTGCAATAAAAATTAAATGTGAAAATACAGGGTGAATAATTAATGCAGTTTAATACGCTGTATGCTATAAGTTAGTGTTGTTCATTTTCATTGTTCAAAGTTCTTTGTTTTTTTGTTAACTATCTATTGTAAAATTTTTTTATTTTAATTCTATATTTTTAAAATTAAAATAAAAAAAAACTTCATTCAAAAATTTGCTTTTAAAGCTTTATTATAGAAATAGTTTTTATTGAAATTTTTAATTTAAAAAATTATTTAAAATTATTTAATCAAATCTGATAAAAATTTACTAGATTAAATAAAGTTTTATTTTATTTTTTTTAAACTTTAGCAATCCTGCCTTTATTTATCTAGAAGTATATTTAGTGTTTGAACAAATAGCCTGTAACAACTAAATGCCTTTTATTTTTCTATATACTTTGAAATAAAGATTTACTTGGCTGCTCAAATAGTGCCCAAATGTGATTTGCTACAATATAATATTCTCTCATCTTTGGAGGTCTAATTTGCTAGACCTATATCTATTGAATTACCAAAATCCTATGCTAGCTTTGTCAAGATTGTTTTCTTTTTTAAACTTTTTTTTCTTCTAAAAGGGTTTAAAAAAAATAAGAAAAATTTAAAAATAATATAAAAAATATAACAAAAAACAAAGAGGAAAGGATTATATGAAAAGAAAACAAAAAAAAAAAAAAAGACTATAACTATTGCAATATTAGTATTTGTGCAAGGCTTAAAAAATTATATAATAAATAAACTATTTGTATATCTTTTTTTTTTTTTTTTATATTGCCAACATAGAAACTTTATTTTTATTTAAAGGCTTCTCTCTAACGTATATACAGTTTTTAATTACATTTGTGCTACTATTACTAGTTACCCAATGTGGCATTATACTCCTTAATTTCTCTATATTACTTTTCCATTAACTATTTCATGCCAACTTCAAGCTAGAGTCGGTTGGAGCAACCTACCATTACACATCCCACTCATGTAATTATTTTTCTGTAATTTCCTTCCAATTAGTACATATTGACTGCTGCCATTGTGTTTATATCTCACGCCACCTTTTGGGGTGCAGCCGTAACACAATCTGTATCTCAATTTCAATCTTCCTAATTAGTCCACAATTACGTACTATATTACAAAATTTTCTATTGTTACCTATTTTCGTACTTATTACACTCCTCTATCTACTTCCTGCAGCAACCTTATAATTCTCTCAAATTGGTTCATTCCAGTGGTTTTTTATTCTTCTTGCTCCCATATTGGTGTACATAGCCCTCCATGTATTGGTACCGTACGGCACGGCTAGATTTATCGAATCTTCAGTTGTTATCTGCAGTGTACTACCTATTTTATACAATACTTCCATAGTTGGTATGATTGACTTGTAGCATGAGCGCCGAAGCTTCCTATTATAACTATGTTATATGGGTGTACTACTGACGATCGTTTTACTTCCAGCTTGGTGATGCAAGAGCACCTGGAACCTTGACTTATAGCGCATCAGTATGGCACCTATCATCAACATTGTGATATGCAGTGTTTTTCTTATTAGTTTTCCAATTTCCAATCTTGTATGCCAGAGGTGTTCATTTATTTGATAAAGCTATTCTCTTACCACAGCCCCTTATTGTATTCACCGCTTCTCTCACTACTTCCAGATATGCTGCATTTAGCCATCCTCCCAATCAAGATCCCCAAGACCACCTTAGGGTTGTTGGTGTTACCTAGCTAATCGAAAATTTACATGCACAGCCTTATGCGGTATTACTTTCTGTGACGCTATATCACACATAGTGCCCAGTCTTCTCTACGGCTCAAGACTCCTTCCAAGAATTCTTTATAGGCCAAATATGTACTTCACATGGTTTTATCATCACAGGGTTCGCATTCGAAAGCTCTCGTAGGTTACAGAGATAATTAATTAAATTAATTACTACCAGCTATAATCGAACCGTTGACCTCATCTGTAAAGGGTTAGGCGCCTAGACCACTAGGCTATGGGATCCTAACTCTTTTATTTGATCTTTAAATTATGTTATCTATAAATTTATGACTATATTTTCTTTTTTTAAATTATCAGCAGGTAAATAAATATAAGCTTTATTGTATTGTCTTTAAAATTTTTTATTTGATTTAATATAAACTTATAATACACATCTTCTTTAATTGGATTATTAGCAGGTATGCATGGACTTCATTATATTTATTTTTAAAATTTTATTTGATGATTTTAAAGTATCTATTTATAACTTATAATATCTATTTTCTATTGGACTATTAGTGGGTAAGTATAAACTTCATTATATTTGATTTTAGATTTTATTAAATTACGTTATTTAATAATTTATAAAACATATTTTCTCTTGTCAAATTCTTAGCTAGTGAGCATAAGCTCTATTATTATTATTTTTGGATTTTAAATTATGTACATGTTATTGTAACTTTATAATGCTTATTTTTTTTTATTAAATTATTAGTGGGTAATTATATGCTTTATCATATTTGTTTCTAAATTAATTATTTTAATAATATTATTTATAATTTTACAACGTATATTATTGGTTAAATTATTAGCGAGTAAGTATAACTATAAGCTTTATTATTTGTTTTTCAAATTATTATTGATAATTTACATCTAATAAATATTTAAAAATGTTTTTATTAATTTATTAGCGAGTAATTATAAACTTTACCATATTAAATTTCTTATTTGATTATTTTAAATAATATTATTTGTAATTTATAATATAATCTCTTTTACTGAATTATTAGCAAGTAAGTATAAACCTTATTATATTTCTTTTTAAACTTTTGATAAATTTTAATAGATGCTATTTACAACCTCATATACATTTTTTTTGTTGAATTATTAGGGAGTAAGTACATGTTTCAAAATTTTATCTTATTTTTAAATTATATTATTAATCATTTTACAATCTAAATTTTTCTTGTAAATTGCTAGTTGGTATGCATATTTTTTATTATAATTACATATTTATAACTTACTATTCTATAATTTTAAATTATTCATTTTTATATCTAACGATTTATATTTTTAACAAATGTTTTTGTAAAACTATTAGCTGATAAATATAAGAATTACAAGTTTTTAGAATCATTATTTGATAATTTTTTAAAATATATATCTAATAAATATTTTAATATGTGCTTCTAACAAATAATTAGCTCGTAAATATAAACTTTATTTTTTAAAATTATTATTTATAATATATATGATTTCACAATATTTAAACAAATATTTTTATCAAATTATTAGTGGGTAATTATAAACTTTATTATATTTATCTTTGTAATTCCACTTGATTTTTATGTTATGCTAATTGTAACTTTATAATATATATATTCTCTTGTTAAATTATTAGTTCGTAAGTATTATTAAATGTATTTTAGCATCTTGCTATACAGCACTGTATCTAGCATTATACATGACAAGAATATTATTTATAAAATCATGTGATATCAAATACATGTGATTTAATTTTTCATTTAGATAATATATGCAACACTGTATAGTAGCTATATATAAATTGCAAATTTATTGGTTAATCCAAATGGTAAAAATATGCATTTAATAAATATTTTAACAAATGCTTTTGTAAAACTATTAGCTGGTAAATATAAAATCACAGGTTTTTAAAATTACTATTTGATTAAATATGTATCTAATAAATATTTAACATGTGTTTTATCGAATTATTAGCAAGTAAGTATAAACTTTATTTTTTAGAGTATGTTGGGTAGTAAATATAATTATCTTAATATACTATTAGCAAACTTATATCATAATATGCTTTTTTTTAAATTATTAGGAAGTAAGTATATCTTTAATGTTTGGTTTTAAATTCTTTATTTGAATTTTAATCTTTTATATCTAATGATATATATTTTAACAATTGTCTGTGTTAAATTATTGGTAGTTAAATTATAGGTAGGTAGCATAAATATAATATAAAATCATGATTTAATTTTTAAATTATATATTTTATCTAACAATATATATTTTTAACAGTAATTGTTGTAGCTATACCTCTTAAATTATAGTGAATTTTGAGAGACCAACATGAGTTTGTTTAAGTTGAGGCATACACACATGAATTTCTAGCATGAGATGATAATGTGAGATGGTTGTTTGGTTCCCCTTTTATTCTAACCTCTTTTTTATTTTTTTTTAATTTTTACTTTTTTTATCCCAACCTTTTTTTTATTTTATTTTTTTTGGGGGGTTTTTTTTTTTTTATTTATTTATTTATATTTTTTATTTGTTTTTTCTTTTTATACACATTCCTTTATTTATTTTTTTATTGATTCTTTGATTTATTTTTTTTTTATGATTATCGCTTATTCTTTCTTAAAATTATATACAAACAACATATTAAAAAACAAGAGTCAATAACCTTTATATTTTACAATCAAATTTAGTTTGATTTTTTGCAAAATAAAAAGCTAGTAATTTTTCAAGATTGTTATTATTTATTATTTTGCAATAATAATTTGTTTTGGTCAGTTGTCCATTATGGCGGATTGGCAGAATTGGACCTATTAATTAGACCCTAAATTAATTGACATCAGTTATCTAAAGCTAATGCATGTTACTTTTGTGTTACTTTATTAAGTAAATTTAGGGTTCAAATTTAAGTATCTAA